CACAGAGAAGCACAGCTGGAGCCCGGGAGCTTGGTGGTCCCATTCAGCGTGGTCATTTCGACTCAGCAAAAGAATTTCATTTCTTCTTGCTACTACTGAGCCGTCTTAAATTGTAAGAAGTTGACGTCTAGACCATGCAGACAAGGCTGTTTGCGACAGATTTGTGAAACGCATTAATCTGAGGCATAAGATGTTTTCAGTTGCCTGTTCCCAGCATTCATATAAAATTACTAATCTTTTAGATGCAGTTACTAATTCCAAGTATCGTGATCGAGCGGGTATCATTCGTCATTGGTATTTGAGAGGTCCCGGGTTCAACTCTCAGGTTTGAGACTAGTTATCTCGACTTGAATCTGTGATTTTACTCAGTCCCTACAGACTGATGAAGAGATATTAGGGCCTACCTATAATTAGACCACTGCCGATTTCTTCCGTATTATTTATTATCCAAAATATAAAGTGTGATTAATTCCATTTGTAATTGTATAAATACAGGTAAATATGTTAGGAGTTTTACCTGTAGTTCTGTATGGGTGTGAAACTTGGTCTCTGACATTAAGGGAGAAACATAGACTGAATGTGTTTGAGAACAGGGTGTTGAGGAGATTATTTGGACCAAAGAGAGATGAAGTGACAGGAGGTTGGATAAAACTGCATAATGAGGAACTTCATAACTTGTACTCTTCTCCAAGTATAATTAGAATGATCAAGTCAATTAGGATGAGGTTGGCAGGTCATGTAGCACGAATGGGGGAGACGAGGAATGCGTACAGGATATTGGTGGGACAGCCAGAAGGGAAGACCAAGGCGTAGGTAGGTGGACAATATTAAAACGGATCTTAGAGAGATAGGATGGGATGTTATGGATTGGATTGGATTGAACTGGCTAAGGATAGGGATCAGTGGAGGGCTCTTGTGAACACGGTAATGAACCTTCGGGTTCCATAAAATGTTGGGAAATCCTTGAGTAGCTGCAGAATAGGCGGTTTCTCAAAAAGGTCTCAGCTCCATGAGTAAGTAAGTAAATATGTTAGGAGTTAGGAATAACATATGTAACTCAGGACTGCAAACTAAATATCAGCCTCGACTTACCCATACAGGTTCCGCGTATTTAATTTTATAATGTAACTAATGTAAGTATGTGTAAATGAATAAAGCCATCATCACGTAACGGCAACCGGAAAAACAGTTGGTCAGGTTGGTATTCCTGCACGCAAGTCCCCCAAGGGTTTACTGGGCTTTCAAACTTTGCAAGTCGTCTAATATTAGACGCGTCCGAAAACTCAGTAATCCCTAGTATTACGAGGGTGAGTGAAAATAAAACCTTAAAAGTGCAAAAAAAAATTCGTCGTTAGGGAAGACCGTCGCGTTGAGGTGAACGGTGTGGCCGCTATATTGGACGTCAGTCATGGTTCAGCGCAGCACGTCACCCACAAAGTGTTGCTGTTTCCCAAAGTGTCCGCAAGATGGGTGTCTAGACAAGGGACTCCCGAACTGAAGTAAATAGGTGTGAACGTCTGCCTTCCAGAAACTCATCCGAGGATACCGATATACTATCGTCAGAACACTCTTAGAATTTAATTTACAACGATTCGACAAAACAAAAAGAAACAAACTCCATGGTTTCAGTCCGCAAACGAACTATACCGACCGAGGGACCGCCGCTTGTCGGCGAAGTCGGTGACAACTTTAGTGGATAGAGGGTGCCGCGTGGTCAGCGCAACGGACCCTCACGGCCGTTAATTTCGGTTTTCTAGACCAGAACCGCTATTTCCTACAAATAGCTCCTCAGTTTTCCTCACGAGGCTGACTGGACCCGGTTCCAGAACCACAACTTGTCAGAAAATTTGTTGGCGCCGGGAATCGAATCCGGACCTCTGGATCTGTAGCCACGAACTCTGACAACTAGACCACAGAGGCGGTCTAGGACGATCCGACGTAATACAGAACTTCAAATGTAAATGTTCAGGCTGTAGTATTCTGCTTTGCGACACCGTGACTTGTAGATGGATACCAACATTTCGAAGTAACAAGCGACCTTCAGCGTCAGGGACGAAGTTTCTCCGTAACATCGACATCCACCTACAAGTCGTCACAATCCGGAACATCACAATCTAAATACTCGTCGCCGAGAAAACCCTGAATTCTTTACTATGACGTCATTTTGACCAAACAAGGTTATGAGAACGATAGGGAAGTATCAAGATTGGATGACGAACAGTGGCATACTCTTCATACCAAGATTCGTGAGAAATCTTGAATTAGCGCCCAATAGACCCATTGACGAAATCTGAGTTTCTTACAGCGATTTTGTGATATGTAATATTTGGGTTGATACCGACATTTCGGAGGAATCTACTACCTTTCATCTTGAAAGAAATGTGTCTTATTGATGCCCGTAATTGAATCAGGCGAACGATAACAACAGGTAGGTCGTTAACACGATTCCAAAGAAAGAAGTGTGTTCTTACGGAATAGTGAATGGGCGTGACCCAATGAAATAAAAACAGGAATCTCTGCAATTGAACAGGCAGTGTTTGTTTTATAGAAAGTATATTAATCTATGAAGTTTCAGCTAGTAATTTGTGATCCTTGGTTTTCTTTAACTCTGCAGGATACACGCTTTGGAACCCTCCCGATGTAAAGAGCAAATAGTTGGGAATTTCTTTATACACGGATGCATGCAAAAGCGGCCACCCATGCTTCAAAGCTGAAGTCATAAATTTTCCTTTCAAAGTGTGACTTCAAAACAGAATAAACGAAACTATTGAGAGAAAAATAAATTAGCCGTTTAATAAAGGGAGGATGACATGAAAAGGCATGAAAAGAAAAGTAAGCTTTCCTACACAATATGGCTGCGGATCGTTGAAGCTTGAGGAACGTGAAATCGTTTTTGAAATTCCACTTTAAGTTAAATAAAGGAGCGCGTTAGTGGCAGAGGCAAGAGACTTTCAGTTTTAAGCAGCTCTTCTCCGGTAATCACAGTTTATGAAACCTGGGTGCTAAAGAAACAATACTGTCATCATCATAATCATCAAAACAACAATAACAAAAGCAACATCACGGATTAAGCTCTTGGCTTGTTTGGTCACGAGGATTCCTTCCGTATTTTTGTCATATGTCCGTGATGTGTTCCCCCCACTAGGTTTATGTATATATATATATATTTTTTTTTTCATTGGCGCTACAGCCCTCATTTTGGGCCTAGGCCTACCTCCATGAAACTCTCCGTTTCACTTCGGTTTTACTAGATCTTACACATATGGTAGAACTCCTTGGGCGGGTGATCAACTCGTCGCAAGGCCTCTACCTGTACACAAACACAGAAAAACGCACATAAACATCCATGCCCTGAGTGGGATTCGAACCCACGATCCCGGCTTCCGAGCGAGCGAAGACAGTGCATGCCTTAGACCGCTGGGCTACCGTGACCGGCATATATATATATATATATACACACCAGATTCAGGGCTTCATTTATATACATCCCTTACAAACATTCTAGACAGCTCTCCCTTTTCAAACATCATTGTTAAAACTTAAAAACATGTCGAGAAGTTGTACCCCCCCAAAATGAGTACCTTCACATATTTCCGAAACCAGTTCTTTGCCATGTTGCAAAAGCCCTACCTTCTTGGACCCTACCTCTTCGACCCTATTAATTATTTAGTGCAGTCAGTATAGCGACTAGTTACGGGCTGGACGACAGAGGGATCCAAGATCGAGTTCCCATAGAATCAAGAACTTTCTTTCCTCCATATCATCCAGACCGGTTCTGGGACCCACCCAGCCTCCTTTCCAATGGGTACTGAGACTCTTTCCCCAGGAGTAAAGCGGCCGGGGCGTGAAGCTATCAACTCACCTCCAACTAATGCCGAGGTCAAGAAAATGTGGCTCTATACATCCACTCCGTTGTACACCTTCATGGTATAGTGCTTAATTAGTTAAGCACAGGGCAACTTTAACTTGTTTTTGGTTCGTCTGACGATGTTGCTAGCAGCTCAGACTGTGATACACAACCTCAAATGGCAGAACAATTACTGAATTGGAAAGGGTGCGGACGGAAACAGTCTTAGCTCAGTTTAGTGTACTATACCGGCATTGATTGGTGGGGGACTGAGGAGAATCATGAAAATTTCAATCAGGATATCCGTTATTGGGGCCGAGATTTGAAACACGGACCTCCCGAACACGCAGCAGTAGTGCTGAACACTTGAACGCAACTTTCGGTCTTCAGTGTCCATTCATGGCAGATACTCCTACATACTGATTATATCAGAAGACGTAAAAGTGTTTCTACAGGAGCCATATTTCAAAGCCTTACGTTTTTTTCCATCTGCTTCCTAAACTCTTTGAAGCCTGGAATTCATCTAAATAATATCAGAAAATTCAGTTCCAGCTTTACAGGCAACACATTGCGTATTCAGTATAATTGGTTAATGAGGGTTAGGAAAATAATAGGTGATCATTCTGAGAATTATTATTATTATTATTATTATTATTATTATGGCTCTACAATCCTTTGCTGGGCCTTGGCCGCTTTTTTCAGTTTCTTAATCTTATACACAGTCAGTACGACTCCTTGGGGGAATCAGCCCGTCACAAGGCCTTTACCGAGACATAGAACAACATAAACACAGAATAAACGCATACAGACAATCATGTCTCGAGCGGGATTCGAATCCACGATCCCAGTGTTCGAGCGGGAGAAGACCGCGCGGCCACTGTGATGGGCATGTACGTTTCACTTAACGGTAATCTTAGGATGATGAAACCGACGAGACCAGGACAGGATTAATATGTAGGGTATATGGGGACAAAGAAATGCTTGAATAATTTTGGTTAAGAAACGTTATGAAACAACAGACTTGAAAGAGTAAAGCTTATGTGGAAGAATAATGTTAAAATCGATTGCAGGAAATTGAAGTGTTTTTGTGATCTGCACCGAGTTACGTTAAAATCCGATTCAGTAGCAATATTTTATTTTGTTTGTGACGAAGAATTCGTGAGCACTTTCAACGCAGAGTGGCTGAGAAAGACAACAATGAATCCAGTTCAGGACATCGCCACGTCTGGCTAGTAAGTTCAGATTCAAGTTAACTCGTTACTTAAGCATAACTGTAACCTTTGTTATAAAATAAACCCGTTATTTCCATTCAAACTTCTATGATTGATTTCACTTGGTTTCATTTTGTTCCAGCAGTGACGTTTGCAATTGCTGCAGGAAGTTGTGTGGTAATGTTTTGCGAGGCAAACGGATATATTTGTCCAAACTCGATTTTTCAGCATTTTATTGTCCCTTACATTTGTTGGTTGAATGATATAGCAGACATCGAGTGGCAGAGATGACAATAAATACAAAATTCTAGTCATAAAGAGCTGAAGGGTAGAGTTCACTTTTCATACCTATGCTCAGGTGTAGATAGAACGATAATATTAAAATGGATCTCACTGAAATAGGGTGAGACAGTATTGACTGGATTCATGTGGCAGAGGATAAGCATCAGTAAAGGGCTTTTGTGGATAAGGTAATGGACCATTGGGTCCCATAATAGGTGTGAAATAGGTGAGTGACAAATTCCCAAGAAGGCTTCTTCTACGCCTTATATTTTCTGCCTGGAAGAACCATTTGGCCTACGTGTATTAATGCGCGACTACCGCATGATGAATCAGTCTTGGATTCCTGCGGTTATGTTTATTCCAACATTAAATTCCGTAAGAATACGTTCAAGGAGAGTTTCAAATGGACAAACGTGACAATCATGATGATGGAAAGTGCAGCACGGTTTCAAGACCTATCAGCATGTGCACTAGAATTTCATGTCGTTTGTGGCGTTTCATGTAGCAGTCTTGAATTTTCCAAGCATCAGCGTACTTTATTGTAAATTATTTTTTTATTGCTAGTGGGGTGGGACTAAGTCCCTTGTACTGCGGCCACTTCTGGCCTATTGTACCAGCCCCAGGTGATAGGTGAGGGTGATTGTGGAGCAATTGGTGGAATGAAGATTGGCAGGGGAAACCGAAGTGCTCGGAGAAAACCTGCCCCAGTGCCACTTTATCCACCACAAATCCACCTTGCCCAGACCCGGGATCGAACCAGGGCCGCCGCGGTGGGAAGCCAGCGACTAACCGCTTGAGCTATGGTGCGGCCTTGTAAATAACTTACACACACACATACACACACACGTTTCAGAGATACAGAACACTGATGTGGGTCTCAACGTACCGCCATGCACTTCCTTGAAACTGGTTTATTCCTGATCCTGAATGCGTTGGAAATTTGGTGCCACGTCACACTGAAATTGTCATGAAGCACAAGCGTGTATTTGCTGTCAGCGGCGAGTGGTTACCTGGTGCAGAAAACAAGGCAGTGACAGAAGACAACAAAGCAAGCTTAATAGTGGTTCAACACGTGATGTCTAACACTGATACAACACAGTAGGACACTGTTACGATAATCTGAAACGATATGTACGCTCATATCAAAATCTTAATATAAACTATACCAATTTTAGGAATACTCCAATATAAGTTATTTTAAAACATAGTCAAAGACTTTATATAGGAGCATAATTAATCTGTGCATAAAACGGTACAAATTATTATATAAATCATTTTACAAATAATTTTATATTACACGAAATTAGTAATATGGATCCATAACAGTTACAATTCAATATTTTATGACTTTATATATTGTGTGACCTGATGATGGATCTGAGAGAGACGAAACATATTGCGTAGCTGTACCGTAAGTTAAATAAATTCAACTGACACAAATGTGGAAGTGAGTTATTTATTTGATTGTTGTGTTGACGGATATATAAAAATGACATATATGGTTGCCTACTCGTTTCAAGTTTTCATATCAGCGTGACCAACGTAATCAAATGAACTGATCAATGTTGCAGAGGTTTGAAATTCCTTTCTTAATCTTTCGTATAGGTTTCAGTAGTTGTTATGCGCCAGTGGATTTTAAAGTGCTTCATCACCCAAAATGCACGTCCTTTCTTTAACCTCTCATCTTCCAATATGGTGTTCAGAGAACCAAAAATTATAATATATAAGCCCATAAGTTTTGTTTCTACGTTTTTTTTTTGTAATTTAGGATATAAAATCCTAGTCGAATAACCCGAAGAAAAGAGACCACTTGCAAAACCTAGGCATAGATGGGACGATAATAATGTCACGTGTACGGGGTTGGTGTGAATAATAATTATGGGTTTTAGATTTGATGATTGGATTCACTGGACGTCTCCATTAAAATTGCAGTTGATTTTGACAGCTCACACATTGAACTCCTTAACGATGTCTGTCCTGCAAATCCCTCCCTGTTTTCTGGTTCTCGGACTGGTCTCTAGGCTCTCGAATGCTCCAGCCGGATCTCTGAATCTCTGACTGGTCTCTAGTCTCCCGAATTCTCTATTCGGATCTCTGAATCTCTGACTGGTCTCTAGTCTCCCGAATTCTCTATCCGGATCTCTGAATCTCGGGCTGAACTAATTCCATGAGGACTGAATATAGTTCACCAAGAACAGTTGACTGTTCTGTGTTTTTCTCCGTTTCCATGAAAACGTGTGAGAATCTCCCGACAACGCCTCGATTCATACCAGCGCACTTGTTGCAGCGGAGACGCGTTCCAGCTACCCGTTGTAATGGAAACCTAGCGCTTACGTAGTCGTTGCTCTTCAACGGACGTCTGGCTATGGTTCCACTATTCCGGCTTTCAGGCATCACATCACAATAATCTTATTTTCCCACCAGAAGATAGCGTCAGTAGTTGTGTACCGGATGCTGTGGACTCGATTAATGTGCATTTCAGTATACACAATGACGTGTCGCGACGGACGCGATAATGATTAGACAGTTTCCGCAAAGGCAGGGAATTACTTGATTTGCGCGGCTATTTTCTTGTTTAAGGTCTGCCCTGTAGAGCCAGTTAACTTTTACTTGAAAATGGATGACTTTGGATCGCATATTATAGAACCATATTTTAAATTATAGAATACATGCAGTTCATCACGTAATATAGAAATAGCTGTGTCAGAACTGGAGGCCTGCCCTATAGAACCAGTTAGCTTTTATTTGAAAACGGATGACTCTGGCTCGAATATTATAGAACCATATTTTAAATTATAGAATACATGCAGTTCATCACGTAATATAGAAATAGCTGTGTCAGAACTTGAAGATTATGAAGAAACATATAGGCCTACGAAAAGAAAGAGAGCTCATTTTACTGCTACTATATAGCACCTAAAATAAAATCTGAATCTTACAAAGATTCTAGAGTTGATATGTTAAGAAACCGTTCCGCAGAAATAAAACAATGGCTATTATCGGGGAGTGAATGTCTGGTCTTAACCATTAATAAGCCTTGGCTCATATAAAACAGTGTGATGGTTTAAAAACCTTCATGCAACTGGCACGACTTAAGTACGTTCCCAGAAGGCCAATTCTAGGATTTGGGGAACAGTGGATCTGTGTTCTATTTGGGAAAGAACATTTAACACTAAAGGATATGAAGATATGAAACACAAACTATACACCAAATTTACAGCTGTGCGTGGATGAACAAATAGTGAAAACAGCAGTAGCTTTTTATAATTTTTTCCGTGCTCTGAATCAATTGCTGCTGCTAAACGTGCCTGCAGGGAACGGCTGAAGAGGCTATGTTCCAGTACCAGTTTTTCTGGTTGTGTACTGAGCGGTAGCCGGAAACAAAACACAAGTGTTTCAGAGTTCAGAGGGAGAACCCATACTTTTTATTCCAAAGTCTGGTTCTGGCATGAGTCCACCACAGCTGGAACCGAACTAAATCTGTCGATTGACTCCCTCTGTCTCTTTCCCATTTTAACCAACAGTATCACATATTGCAGTGTACAAGAAGGAACTTTATGGCAAATGAAGCTTGTTTTCCACAAACATATATATATTTAAATCTCCAGCCGATGTAGTTTTAAAAAAGTAATGATAGTTGTATAAAGAATTTATTTGGTACTTCCCAGTTACACGGGGAACTCGTTTTCAGTATGTTGTAGTATGAATACTTGCGGTAACACTGCTGAAATACGTAAGACCCCCTTCTCGATACGAATTACAGATTCTCCATGCAATGAAATCAGACAAAGCCGTGTACATTTCAATCTGTATGGTCCCTTACCTTAACTAACAAACCATGTGGAGCAGACTCCTTCGTAACAAGCTGCTATTAGTCGCTTAGCTGCCAAGATACGGCCCGGATTTATGAAATCCGGCCGGTCACGGTAGCCCAGCGGTCTAAGGCATGTACTGTCTTCGCTCTTTCGGAAGGCGGGTTCGTGGGTTCGAATCCCACACAATGCATGGATGTTTGGTATGTGTATGTGTTTATTCTGTGTTTGTGTTGTCCTGTGTTTAGGTAGAGGTCTTGCGACGAGTTGATCACCCATCAAAGGAGTCCTACCGTCTGTGAAATGATCATAAAACTGAAAATCAGTGATCCAAAGTTTATTACCATGTCTACAGCCTCACGCCACTGGACCCAACTTGAGCCGGATGAATCCAGCCCAAACCCGACCACCACACTTCTCTAACCGTTCAACGGCGCAGAACATTTAAGTCCTACTCGGTCCTTGGAACAGAGGGAAATTTAAAGATTTAAGTCAGCAATTTCAAACACGGCGGCAACCGTGCGACACCGTGCGGTTATAACCGACAAATTTAACGTGGATAATAATTATACGAAAGTTGTGTTTTTTTTTTTAGTTTTTTTTTTGGGGGGGCGGGGTGAAACTGAGTCCACTTAGTACGTCGGCCACTAATTGGCCTATTGCACCAGCCACATATGATAGGTGAGGGTCATTGTGGAGCAATTGGTGGAATGAAGATCGGCAGGGGAAATCGAAGTACTCGGAGAGAAACTGCCCCAGCGCCACTTTGTCCACCACAAATCCCACATGACTTGATCTGGGCTCGAACTCGGGCCGCCGCGATGGAAAGCCGGCGACTACCCGCCTGAGCTGTGGCACGGCTATACGTAAGCTAAGCGACCAGCTTTCTTTCTGCGAAAATAAAATAACAATTAAATAATGGAGGAGCAGTTATGTCGGACTGGAAATCTATGTAACAAGGATGTTCTTCCCGGAACTGGTTTCAGCAACAGTTTTTACACTTCAGCACAGAAAAGTACGAAATTAGACCCATATGACACAGTTAGTTTGTTTGCATCACACATTTCAGAGTTAATCAATCGAGTTTCCAGTCTGAATATGCAGTTTGACTGACCGGGATGGCAAGCAGATTATGAATGAATGATGGAGCTATATCTCCACTCCCCCATGCGTCTTCATGGTGTGGTTCTCCCTGAATGAAACACAAGGACAGCTTCACTTTTACCTTTACAGCAGCCAGTGCGTCTTCTGATTAGGCCGCATAGATCAGTGGTTCTCAAACTCTGTGAGATCGCGGGTCATCAATTCTTCTTCTACAAGACCAGGGCCTCGTATAATTGATGCCAGGGCCCGGTGGTTGAGAAACACTGCTATAGGCTACATGAAAATTGGTGGAAAGTGGGAAATTACGCTCTTCCGTGTGGATAAATCTGGGCCAAGTCTTTCCTCGCAGATCGTAGGCCTACCGCGGATTGCAAACCACAACTGTACACTGAACCTCAACATAGGAACATTATTTTGAATGCATTCTGTATATAGTAGCTCTTGTCTTCAAGTGACGGGGTGAGTGAAAGGGGGAAGGAAGTGGCGAAGTTGCCTTTGTCCACGATTGCAAGCTCTGTGGCATCTATCGCAGCCACCCACCATCCTGTGAACTTGCTTCACACTTTGACTTATAGCGCCAGTTGGACTCTCCGACGTGG